TGGGAGATGAGACTGGAGAGGTGGACTGGGGTAGATCAGGTGGACTTTATGTGCCTACTGAGCGCATTTAGCCTGCAAAGTGTCCCTGGGGTTGTGAGGCAGGTGTCTCATGAGCTCAGATTCATGTTTCAGGAAGCTCTCCTGGCTGTAGGGCAGAGGATGAGACAGAGGACACCAGTTAGGAGACTGTCAAAGTTATCCCAAATCAGAGAAGTTGAGTAACTTTCCCCAAGTCACACAGTATTAAGTGGCAGAGCCAAGATTTGAACCTAGGCAGTCTGGCTCTAGAGCTAACACCCTGTGATAGCATTGGCCTGACCATTAGGTGGCACTACCTGTCTTTCTTGATCAGCTCTTGCCTCCAACTATCACCCCAACTCCAGAGGACCAGGGAGAAAGAATAGCAGTGCTATTTCGCTACAGAGAAAGAGAACATTGGAGGAAAAGCTGGTTTGGGGGAGAGAAAGAATTCAGTTTTGGATAAGTGGTGTGACTTCATATGCATTGTTGCTGTGACTTCATATACATTGTTTATAGAACCTGGATCACAAAAGAGAGGACTCCCCCACTCAGCTGACAGATGGTAATTAAAGCCATGTTAATGGATTAGGTCATATAGGGAGAGATTATAGAAAGAGAACAAAACCCTGAGTAGTATTTTAAAATCAAGTAGTGGAACAGAGCTGGCGCTACAAACTTCCGGTCCAACTCTCCTACCTCAAGCAGCGTGCAGAGCGCGTCGGAGCCGAGCCCAGTTGATCAGGATGATCACAGACGTGCAGCTCGCCATCTTCGCCAACATGCTGGGCGCGTCGCTCTTCCTGCTTGTCGTTCTCTATCACTACGTGGCCGTCAACAATCCCAAGAAGCAGGAATGAAAAGTGGCGCTTTCTCAGCCCCAGGGTTCCAGGACATAGTCTGAGGCAAGACGGANTATTTAATTTTCATATTGGCTACTATTATTTTCATTTCTAAAGCTCTTTCTTATTCTCTGAAGGTTCCTTTTTATTGCAACTATTCTTGTTTAATCTTTTTGAAGATACAAATGGAAAGTATTCCTAAGAGTTCTCCTTGTTCCCAGATATTATTTTAGGACAGTTATGGAATCTCCCTAACACTAACACTATCACAATTGTGAATCTACTGAAGTTAGTTTTAGGTTATATTATCCCTGAGGCTATAAGAAATAAAACATTCTTTTAGTAAAGTAATATGAAGTCCCTAATTTCCTTACAAGTGATTTGAACAAATATTTTAGGACTTTCAGCTTGTCGTTCTTTATTGTTTAATCCCCCCATCACATATAGAAGCAACCAACTGGCTCTGTTGTCCTGAAGGCAGTGAAAATCCAGCTGGCATTAAGGGGTGGGGCAATGATAATGGAAAAACAGTTAAATAATAACCTCGGATCATCTGGAATGAGTGTCCATTGAAAGATTTGGGGCAAGTGGCCACTGGCATTGGAGAACAAGGAGTGTGTGCATTTCCACCCTGATTCTAGTGCATGAGTGTTAGCGACAGGGACCAGCACAAGGCCGTGAGCAGATTGTTCATGGAAGTCAACAGCAGCACATACAGCTGTCTGGCAGTAAGAGAAAAGTCTGGGGTGGAAGGAAAGAGGAGAGAAAAGAAGGAAAAGTGGGTGGGTGGGTAGGTGTGTGGATGGATGGATGGATGGGTGGATGGATGGATGGATGGATGGATGGAAGTATGAGTGAGTGGATAAATAGATGGGTGAAAGAAAGACCATCTGTGAGATGGACCTGCAGGAGACTCAGAAATAACTGAGAAGACACTTTCAGA